CCTCCTCTTCTTCTTCAGAACTTTCCTTTGTAGCTTTTCTTTTAGGCAACAAGGCTCGAGCCTATATAAATCCAGAGCAGCATTCGCAGACATGCGAATGGCCATAGCTACTTCAGCTGTCATTCCTCTAATGCCAAATCCTGATTAAATAATGGATATACATGATTAAAGTTGAGGAAAAAGTGCTTAACATGTAAAACAAAATTTTGTAAAAGAGGGGATACCGTGTGTTTTGACTTTCCAGCCATGTAAGGAAGAAATTGATTTCCAAGTTCTTTGCTCCCTAGNCATTTATTGTTCATGATTATGTCATTAAAGCTGATGCTTTATTCTTTTACCTAGAATGATCTATAAAAGGAAGACGTATCATCATTTGTAAGGACACGAGATACTATTGAGAATACACTGAAATACTTATCTATTTACCCTCTACCATTGTTCTCAAAAGTATTTTATTTTTTGTCTCCTGATTATCAGTAACCCGAATTTTTCTTTTAGCTTTGACCAAGGACTCAGATTTTTGGTTAAACATTCACGAGTAAAATATTTTTTAAAATATTTAAGCCAATAAAAGGAAAATCGAAAAATATTTTCGGGAAAATATTATTGCTAACCTGCTTTTAGTTCCTCGCTCCCTTTTTTTTTGGCTCAACTCGTGTACACTATCTGTCCATTTTCATAAGTGTATGTCTAATTTAATGACATTTGTCATCTTTCATATCTAAGGGCCAAAATTTATGTAGACTAAACCATGATTAAATTGCATTCTCTTACTGGGTTAGTATCAAAATTGGAAAGAGAAATCAACTATCCGAAAATCTTGCTGGGAATTTCATTTTGATTGGGAGAATATTTTCTTATCAAAACAAAAGATTAAGTCATTAAACCATTTACAAACTACTACAACAACAACAACACAAAATTGCAAGGAGAAAAACGAAATCAGTGGTTGAGCAAAATATTTTTCTGGGTAAAGAGGACGGCAACAGAACAGGTTCTACTTCAGTCTTACACCTCTTATGATTTCTGTAGTGTTAAATTAAACCTCTTGTGATTTTTGTAGTGTCAAATTGCCCATGTTAAAAAATGTCTACGATGTGTTTGATAAAATGTCTCAACTGAACTATTTGAGAATAAAGTAGGAAATCAATATTTAACAATGTGAGAAATTGTATTCCTTAAACACACATAGCAAGTTGAATAATTAAGATTAAAAACTGTTTCACAAAATGCTGATCGAGAAGAACATATTTCTTCCTAGTGGCTATGCCTACTTTCAAACACAAAAGGCAACATGATAGCAGTTTGCTCTACATTTATTACTTGAAAATTAGACTCTATTCAACCTTTTATAGACGCCAATCTTAGTTTATAAGTGAAAAAGTTCAAAATAGCTACTTAAAAGTTATGAATAAGATTGCAGATGACCCCATGTCTTGTAATTCATTATTTGAGACTTTTTTTTAAAGTTTTTCCAAAATTGAAGAATATAGATTATTTGTCATATTCATATCTTTTATAATGTAGATTTATGGAGATATCAAGTGACTCTGAAAGTGGATGTAACGTGCCAATAAAACTTGGCATGGAATTTGATTCAGATGAGCATGCATATGATTGTTACAATGAATATGTAGCTGCAATTGGTTTTAGTGTTAGGAAAGAATATGCAAACAAAAACAGAGTACACGGGTATGTGACTTCAAGAAAATTAACATGTTATAAAGAAGGTTACAGAGGTAAAGACAAACGAGATCCTACTGTTAAAAAACATAGAAAGGAAACTAGAACCGGTTGCTTGGCTCATGTTATTGTAAGTCGTCAATCAAATGGGAGGTTTCGCATCACTTCATTCGAAGAGAAACATAACCATCATCTTGTTCCTCTATCTTTATCTCATCTGTTGCCATCACAAAGAAAGATAAAAATGGCTCAAGTATATGAAATTGACTTATTAGATGATTCGGGGATACGTCCTAAAGCTTCATTTGATTATGCTGCTCGTCAAGCTGGAGGACAATCTTTTCTTAGGCTACACTAAGAGAGATCATAATATCTTCGTGACAAAAGAACAGATAGTTTGAAACATGGAGTGGCTCATAGCTTGGTGAATTATTTTGAGAAACGAACTGTAGAAGATCCTGCTTTTCGATTTTCTTTACAATTAGATGATGAAGGTTTGATAACTAATATATTCTGGGCTGATGAAAAGATGATAATGGATTTTAAGATTTATGGAGATATTGTGTCCTTTGATACAACATATAGAACAAATAAAGAATACTGACCCTTGGCATTATTTGTTGGTTTGAACAATCATAGGGAAATGGTCATATTTGGTGCAGCCCTTTTATATGAAGAATCTGCTGAATCTTTTGAGTGGCTTTTTAATGCATTCTTTAGGATTATGTCTGCAGAGAAACCAAAGACATTTATCACAGATCAAGATCCCGCAATATCTTTTGCTGTCTCATTAGTAATGGCACAGACATATCATCGCCTGTGTATGGCACTTGGAAAAGTGATTTGCTGGTACCGTATCCCACTATCCCTGTAAGTAAAGGATTCTACATTTAAAGAAAGGCTAAATTATAGGAATATTTAGTTTTAACCATATTTTAGGGATTGAGTTAATGGATTTGAAAAATGACATATGTCATTAAATTAGACCTCCACTGCTAAAATTGGAGAGATCCTACACAGGAGGGGAGCCAGATCCTTTTCTTTTGCTCTCTCTCCCTCTTTAATTGCAATTGTTAATGTAAATCTTTTGCAAATTTGTGTACTGTAGCCTTCTTTTGCCTTTCCTTAGGTACTCCCATGCCAACTTGCCTGAATGCCTTTGTTGACGCTGAATTTTCTGCAATCTCCATCTCTACCGAATATTTGCTCTGCTTTTACAGCAAAACTCAACAAATTCCAAACAAAAATTCTTATGGCTTCTCTAGTGCATTGAATGATACATCCTTGTTAGATCTCCATGACTTGCATTTGATGTTTTCCATGGAAAAAAGACAAGCTTCATATAATGCAATCCAATTGAAGCATATAACCTTAATAGATAATTTGGTCCTCCATATCAATTTCCATGGCCAGGCATCAAGCACCTGATTTTGAGTGCAGTTTTGCTTGTAGCACTCTTTGACTGTGAAGATACCCTTGCTACCCCAACACATAGTGTTTGAAAGATCTTCATCAATGTTGTAGCTTTCCACTCTTGCTAGCATTTTCATCAAACTTTCCATTTCCCAATCTTGTACAGACCTTCTCAGATGCACATCCCAGTTGTTGTTGCTCCTGTTCTAAGCAATTGAGGAGTTCTTGTCCATGGAAATTTGGAAAATGTTAGGATAATCATTCATGAGGGCTGTGTTATTCAGCCAAATGTCCTTCCAAAATCTGATGTGCTCTCCATTACCAGGTTTGAAGTGGATCTTCTAGAAAAAATCATTGTTCAATTTGCTAATAAACTTGCAGGGACAAACACTTAGAACGAGTAAGCTTTAGATTGCTTCAAGCCATTAGAATGAGTAAGCTTTCTAGAGTTAGTGTGACAAAGTTTATAAACGTGTTGATTGGTCGGTCTATATGAAATTCTCACGATATATGCTTGTTTTATTGAATATTGAAACATTCTTACTAGTAAGTTACATGACTTTCCTATTTCCTTAAGCATTTATACTTTCCTAATGTTACAGCAAATTGCATTGATCAAAGCTCAAGCAGGGGTGAAGAACAACACGAGACGGTTGAGCAGGAGCATCATCCTGGAAGGATCAAACCATATGATGATGTGGTACATTTTCCACTATTTTGCTTTTTTGTGATCTACTTGTTGCCCATTCACGGAGATAAGAGCAATCCTATCTTTCTGTGCTGTTTTGCTATTTCCTGGTGTACGTTTTGATAAAAATGAGAGAAACACACAAAATGCATCATACAAAAGCTAAGCAGTGGTTGATTTTTAGTGATTGGGGGAAGCAAGGTTGCAACTGTAGAGTTCTGAATATTAGTCTTATGTAAACTTTCCTAATTTGTAGAAGCACTGAGGGTTGCTATTAGTTCATCCTTTTGCTTTTTCACTTTTATTTTCTTTGTGATACTTGCTATATGACAATGATTACTGTGTGCTTACCTTAGGAAAAAAGTGATTATTTTGCAATGGAGGATGCTCGATATTTCATTTGTTAAAACAGGAGCTTGTTTGCAAATAATGATTTCTAGCAAATCAGTTTGCACATTTGATTCTAACTCTTACAAAGTCTTCTGTTAATGGCGCTATTGAATACTTCAATAGTAGGCTAGCATATACATGCTTTTGAATCATGTTGTTGCTCGTTTGCTTGATTTGTAGAAGCTTGCTCCAGCTTGATTAGCCTAACATGATCGATGACTCTTCTAACCCATTCAGTAAAATAGGTCTCGTTGTGTCCAACCATGCCATCTTTATGAAAAAGAAAGCACTGCAGACGATCTTTGGGGGATGGACACTCTTTTCCCATTGGATCCCTCCATGCACCCTGATGTTTCATCCCTGATTGATTTGCCATCCAGTGGTAAGCATATTGGCCTGAGCCAGCATACTCTAACCATCCTTTTGGATAGAATTCCATCACGCTGCTCTCGCGGTCCATGAAGAGCATATCCGTTAACTGTGCTCCACATGGAGACGCAACAATATCGCTGTTGGTGAGCACTTTCACCTGATAAAGGACATTTGTGTTAATTTCAGTGATTGCTTGGAACTACTGCAAGTAGGGTAATATGAATAGATTGTTGGTATTAGTTGCTTGGTAAGCTTTAGTTGTATATTTCATTGTGAATTACCATTGCTCCATTGATATTTTTTGGGGTAATAACTGAATACTAATGGAAGAAAAGGAAAACATGTGTACCTGGTCGCAGAAAGATAGATCGTCTGACTGAACTACTTGCAGAATGCAGCCTTTGATTCTTGCACATTCCTTTGCAAATATGTCAGTTACAGCAGGTGCATTCTTGAACGAGCGTGAACCTCTTCTCATTAGCAGAGTAAGTCTTATAATTGGAAACCCTTTTTATTAATCTCTCTACCCTTGCCTGCAGGATTAATGCCACAGTAACTCCTAGCCTTGCAGCGCAACAGGTCGAACAGCTTCAGCTAATTCTCCTGCCCCATTTGACTTGTCTCATGCCTCATGACAATGGCTTTCTCAAAACAGTAAGGTACATCTCTATCAAATACTTCCACCTTAACTTTACCAAAATTTGCTTGCATAAGTTGTTGAACCCATGACCCCATTCTTAATCTCAGTTCTCCCCAGTGGAATAGGGCCCATCTTGCTGGCTTCAAACACTTATTTTTCATTGACCATCTTACAAAAGGAGCCACTGCAGATAATCCATGCCATAGATTATGGTGGTCGTAATATGTGTAGGATATGAATGTTAAGCCTTCCAATAGAATAGCAGAGTCGGGAAGACTTTCTCGCCATGCCAAAGCATATGAATTCTTTGTGCCATCCTTAGTATCCCATCCCTTAAAGCAAAGAAGCCGTCCTTTGGATGCCTTAGAAGGGAAATACAAGTGTTCTGCTTCATTTTCCTCGTGTGTATCGTTCAAAGAGCTCATAAACCATGTGTGGCCAGTTGTGGCTGTTTCTCTAAATCTAAGGTCCTGAAGGGGGAGGAAAGTGATAGCGTCTTTGAGCTTCGCCGTCATGGTTTCCTTGACATCAGAGTAATTCTCTTGGGAACGAAAAGCACATCTTTGAGACCTTGCTGATAAGGAGAAATCAAAAGGATATGAATACTGGATATGGAAAAGGATGACAAAAAGAAACAAGGTGAAAAAGAAGATGCTGATGAATTTTGTGGTTAAACATTTGTTCTTGCTCCGAGTGCACAACTTCATCTGATGCTCCATTTTCATGAGTTTTGCTCAATATGAATCTACTTAACTGGCAGAGAGAAGCAACATAAGACTATTTCTCTGGCTTTTAGGAGCAAACTATTCTCGAGATTGGAAGTTAATCTATATTATAACAACTTACGGATGGTATGCTCGGTAAATACTTTAATTCAGAACTTGAGCCATGTTTTGCGTTAGCTTCATTGTTTTTGGTACTTATTTCTCGTTTCGTCAACCTTGCATTAAATTCTTCACAGCTAACAAATTATTTTACACTTAGGAATCCGCCCTTCTATGGTCCTTGTCAAGATTCTTAGAGTACTAACGACGAAAATGATATGGCTGATCTCTAAAGAAGAAAATGGTTATTAATGTTAAATTAACCACACACAAAAAAAATATCATCCCATATCAGACGTTGAAATTTGTTGCAACTCTGCAAAGAGGAATATAACATCGGAGCTTTACTTAAAATTAAAATGTGCAATCATGAAAATATTACTTCTACTAATTTTGAGTCTTCCAAACTGGCCAAGTTTTGGTTTTACCAAGGGCATTCAATTTTGTAAGAGAAAATTTATTAAGTTGAGATCAACGAAATCAGTAGTATAATCTAAGAAGTTTTTAATAAATCTGCTATTCTACAACATCTGTTGTTTTAGGGGAAGATTACACTACATATCCCTATAATATGATTTAACTGCACGTCCAGTTTTTGTATTTTAAAATCAACTACTTATATAGTATTTATTTAATGAAAATTCTACATAAGTATTAGTTTCAGTAGTATTTCCTTTTTACAGGGGTGCGAAGTGTTTAGATTTGAAAAATAGACATCTCAAACTAAGTATATTAAAATAGAATAACTAAAAAATAAATTAGAATTACTAACATAAAGTTCTTATATATTTAATCTTATGAAATAAGAAAGTGAATAAGAATGTTATGAAATGTGAGAATGGGAATGATATTTTTGTCAAACACTTCTATTGAAAAGGAGAATAAATATTATTGAAATATATATCTTTCAAAACTCTTAAATAGGAAATGAGCACAACTTACTTAATAAGAATATAGTCATGAGTTTTCTTGCACTAGGAAATGAGCACAACTTACTACTAATAATTTTCTTGCACTTTGAACATATAAGTTATTCTATTTTTTTTCTATATAAAAGCTTAAGAAACTTAGTGTAATAGGATTTTCTCAATTATTTCATTAGTTTGTAATTTTATTATTGATATTTTAAGTTTATTTAGCTAGGATTTTCGTTATATAAACGGTTTAAGTACTCCTTTGATAAGAATAACACCGTTAATATGTTTCTTACCGGGTCTTTTCAAATGAGGCGGGCCGGATGGTTCAAAGGTCTATGTAATTGCGCAAAACAACTAGGGTTATTTAAGTCAATCGGGGCTGAATTAGGGTTTTTGGTGTTTTTTTTATAAAACCTTTAAGCAGCTATTCCTGCTCTTCTCCCCAATAGCAATCGTCGGTGTCGTCTCTGTCTGTCTTCCGGGTAACAATCTCACTCTCCGTGTGCACACACATTTTCCTTCTCAATTTCAAAGGCCTTTACCTTTTGTATTATTATGTATTATGTCAATTTTGTAGTCTACATCGAATTCCTTTGTATCTCTGTAATTTTTTGCATAAATAATACATGTTTCTTGTTCGTGCAATCAAACTTTGTGCTGGAACTGAAAATGGGATTTCCTGTATAGCCTAACTGATTTAGCACCGTAAAAGATGCTGTATCGTAACCTTACATGTGCCAATTTTTCAAATTGTTACAGTCAGATTTTCTTTTTGAAATTTGATAGTGTGTGCATCTATACGAGTGTGTACATTCAATCCAAGCCATTTAAACTTGTGTAACAAGAAGTAATTTCATCATATTTCATTTGATTCATACTTGTATCATGTCGATTGGGATGGTCGAAGTGTAATTAGTCTTACTTGTGTGGATGCTTTTGAATTGTTGGAATACTTCTAGATTATTATTTATTATGGAAGTTTGAATGGCCTCTTTTTAATGATTGACTGTAGCTAAATCCAGGAGCTTTTAACTTCTAAAGTCTACTAGTGTAAAGCATTGCCAAGATGCAGAACGACGAGGGACAAAACATGGACCTTTACATCCCTAGGAAGTGGTACGTATTTCTTACTTCCAAACACTTTGGATTAGAGTCAGCTGCCCCTGGTCATTTAATTAATGATGGTGTAATATTAGTTTGTCCTAGATAATTAATGTACTATTTGGATGCAGCTCTGCCACTAACAGGTTGATCACTTCTAAGGATCACGCTTCTGTCCAGCTCAACGTTGGGCATTTGGATGAGTTTGGCCGATACAATAACCAGTTCACTACTTATGCTTTCTGTGGATTTATTCGTGCCCAGGTATGTTGCTTGTTGTTTTTGAATATCATGTGAAAGTAGTATTTACCTTCAGATTGTCTGCTTCAGATTGTCTGTGTCATATCAAACATCTTTAGAGCCTTGTTGGCATTCCTGCGGTCTCCGTGCCTATGCTCTATGGTCTTAGTTACTTTTGGCGTATCCATTTTAGATATTTTGTTTTTAGTGGTAGGCTATTTTTCTTGTCCCATTCTTCTTTCTGTGAAGTGTTGATCATTGATAACGAGTATTATACAAATTAATGGCAGTTTTAGCTCTTTGCGATGGTGGTTGGTATTCAAGCTGGTAATTTATCCTCCATCAAAACTTGTAACATAAAGAAGGATGCTTCTTTTACATTTATTGTTCAAGCTATGATTTGGGGCTATGGTTATCTTGACTGGTGGATTATTATCTTTGGATCTTGTTGTCTTGGCTTATTTTGTTTGCTTTTGCTGTTCATCATTTTGTGCAATTGATTTGAAAATCCTTTCTGCAGGGAGACGCCGATAGTGGCCTTGATAGGCTCTGGCTAAAGAAGAAAGCTGAAGTTGGACAGCAATGAGTTCCTTTTTGCTTTTGTCTTGCCAGCAGTTCTTTTTGTTGTTAGTGGCTTGATCTCTTCTTTGTTTAAAGTTCATTATTAGACAAATGGAACTGCATTTATATTACATTTTTACTATTTTAGTGATGTAACTTGATTTTCTACTGTTAAGAATTTTTTTGGATATGGCGGACCATTTAGCTGGTTGAATCATTTATCCTGCTTCATGAGCCACTTGTGTTTCTTAGAATTTGGCTTTATGCTTCCTTTTGTATGCTCAACTTTCCTCTCATTTAACTAAACAAAAGGATATTATCGTTAATGGTTAGAGTGAGGTAGGCTACCCTGTTTCTATTTCATCGATCTTCTTCCCCGTTTCTCCCCCTTCAGCCCTTGTCTTTCCATTCTAGAACCAAGCATAATGTTATTTCTTCAATCCTGAACTTCTGTGAGATACTTTGGATTGGAGCCGTAAATTTTTAATTTTCCACGCTGCACAGTTTAGTGCAACTGCAGTTCTAAGTCTAACCAGATCTGGCGTTGTGCTTTTGTGGCACGACGTTGATGGTTTTCAAGACCAAAGTAAGAAAAGCTGCAAATTTATATTCTCCTGGAGAAGATGGTCATGTACTCTGGGACATAATTTCTTTGTAAATTCCAAGTAATCCGTGGAAATGGGCTGTCATGGCAAACTTAAACCAAAACCTGACCATAGTTTTAGGCCCCTCTTGCCAGGTAAAGATAAGTGTAACAATGTGAACAATTCAAGTTATGTAAATTACATCCCACATATTATGAATGTTACGTCATTAGTTATCTAAATACATTTGCTACCAGCTAACCTCGTTAAAGAAAACTTTGAGTTAAAGGGCACAGCTTGCGCAAGGTATTTTGACACTTTGCATGGGGAGAAATTCAAAAATAGCCAGATTTACAAGTGGTCATTCGAAAATAGTCACAGTTTCAAAAGTAATCGACATTTAGCCACTTTTCATGTAAAGATAAATCTGAACAAAAACACTGTTCGAAATCCGGAAAATACTCCACCATAATGTACTTATGCTGGAACTCCATTATAATATATCGGAGTTCCAGTATAATATACCGGTGAAGTTCATGCACAAGTGTTCCAATCTCTAGTATATTATGCTGGAACTTTCCGCGTGTTGGAGTTCTAGAATAATATGCGGGAAATTCATACACAAGTGCATCGATCTCCAGTATATAATGCTGGACCGGTCCCTGTTGCAGCAAAATAATAGCTATTTTTCAATGACTTTACATACGCTGACTATTTTTTAATGATCAATCCGAAAACTGGCTAGCCCGTACTATTTTTACCTTTGCATGTGCAGTGACAAATGTGACGCCAACAAAGATTTGTGTAATGTCATCTTCAGTTGGGATTGATTTTCAATGCCCCACATTGTTACAGGCCTCAACATCCGCGATCTATAGCTACACCCCGCCGTTTATGGGCAAGATACAGTATTGATGGATTGAAATTAATTATATTCGTTAGCCAAAATGTGTAATATATATATATATATATATTAGTCTCTCAGAACGTGCGTTGCACGTTTATTTCACTTTATTATTATAAAATTCATTTTGCAAAATGTTGAATTTTAATTATATAAATGTTTTAAGAATTCTTATTTGAGTTATAAAAGCATGTAGACATATTTATTTGCTAATCAATGTTTGTTTACAATCGTCTGTTAGGTATTTGCCATAATTTTCTTATCATATTTGGTTTTCCTATTTGTTGAAGGAAAGGGCAATATAATTACCTTAATTGGGTTTTCCTTTTTGTAGAAGGAAATTATAATTCTCCTATACTTGGCTAGTCCTTTTTCTTGTAGGAAAAAGTTTGGAGTTCTATAAATTGAAGATCCGTCCTTCTCATTCAGTAGCATCCACAATGTAGCCATAGAGGCTTGAGAGTAGTGTTTAGGGGGAGAACTTTACGGGACAAGTGTTAGTGTTTCCTTGTGTTTGCCTCTTCGTGAGGTTGTTCTCTCGATATTTTGTACTCTCTTTTTATATAGTGGATTGCTCATCTCCTCGGT